TATTATGCAATCTCACTCAAGGTATAGCTCATCCTTGTTGTTACGTCATTCAAGTAAGAGAATATAACATGAGTTATTATTTGACTGATAATATATATCCAAAGTAGTCCACCATTGTGCAAACTATTCAAGAACCACACACTCGAAAGAAATAATATATTGCAATGAAACATGAAGCATGTAGAAAAGATATAGAACGTATTTTTGGAGCTCTCCAATCTCGTTTCACAATTATGACAAAATCGATACATTTTTGGAGCAAAGAAGTGCTACATGATATAATGACTACATGCATAATTTTGCATAACATGATAATTGAAGATGAGCATAATCTCAATGAACTAGTTAATGTTGCAGGAGAAGTTCCACCCCTCGAGGTCGAAATGGTGGTGGATTAAAACACTCGATTTCATGAATTTATAGCTCACCATAAAGAAATTAGCGATAAAGTTGCTCACATTTAACTGCGAAATGCATTGATTGATAATTTGTGGACTAATTATACTAATTCTAATGTTTAGTTGTCTGTGCATTTTTTTTCAATCACATTTGTGTGATAATGTAATTTTCATTTTACTTAATAAATATTTGCTTATTTAGGACATTTTTATTCCAAATTAATTTATCGAGTAAAATATATATTTTTAAAAAATTATAAGTAGGTCTAATTAAAAAATTGATAAATATAAATATATGATTAAAAAAATAATATAAAATAAAAAATGAGAAAGTTACATAGAATATTATTTTTTTGGTGCTTGAAAATGGAGTTTGAATGGAAACTAGTTACTACATTTTGAAGTATTATAATATTTTGGAGTAAAAAATGACTTTTTGGGTTGGAGATGGCCTAGAGCTTTGGAGTTTTTATTCGGAACAATATGAAAATGTGGCAGTATAGATGTTTAAATTTTTTATTATTTTCTGGGTGAACAAATTTGAATTGTTTTAAAGATATTTTGCTTTAATGAAGTATTTTTAACGACTCTTTAAACTGTTTTATTAGATACTTTTTCAAAGGTAGCTTTCTACAATCATGTACAAAACTATGATCAAGGTTTTGAAAATCGGACTGGATAACGAACCGGAAGGAGGGGTTTGCGGTTCGACCGGATCAGCCGATCGAACCAAGGTCCAACTGGATGATGAAATAAATAATAATATTATTAAAAAAAATAAAAAAATGTTAAATTTTCCTGTAATACCTTCATTCTACATTCTATTTTCGTAGCTCCTAATTCAAATAACATAAACATGAAATCAATTAAGTTTATGAAATATAAACAAATAACACATAATATAAGTGCCGCATCAAATAAGTCAATAAAACATAAACAAATGTATAGTTTTTATCATCAAATAAAATGATAATTTCATATCAAGTCAAACTTCAACGTTCAAACATAAATATGAAAATAAATCTAGAAGTTGTCTCTTAGATTTAAAGCATCAAAAGTTATATCCATAAATCCTTATTCATCAAAACATTCCCCTCCAAAAGCATCAATATCATCATTGCCAATTATTTCATTGTCATTTCAAACATCATCTAGGACAACATCATCTGCATATTAGAAATATAAAATATTATATATTTATATAATATATTTTAAACATCTCTTTCAAATAATATAACTTAAACTAATTATAAACTTACTTAGAGGTTCTTTAGTACAACTAGTTTTAAGTTCTTCAGCAACAAGATTGACATCTTCAGCATATATTTCATTCTCTAAATTCTCTAGAATAAGCTCTGAAACTGGTTCTTCATTAAGAATCCAAAAATCTACCATCTCTATGCTTGTATAATCCAAAGGATCTTAGTTTCTTTTTTTTGTTTGAAATCTAAATATAATTAAAAGATCATTAAGTTATACAATCATACAAAAATGACATCTACATATAATTACAAGTCATGTATTCCTACCTATGCCTCAAATTGCGGTTGTATCGAACAAATACAAGATTATTAAGCCTTTGATGCTCTAAATGATTTCTTCTCTTTGTATGAATTTGTTCAAATACACTCTAATTCCTTTCACATCCAGAAGATGAAGTTGTTTGGCTAAAAATTCTAACAGCTAATTTCTGCAAATTTGGGGCACTTGATTTGAACATCTTCCACCATTCATCTTCAAAGAGATAAATATTAGTTAATTAATATCTTATATGCATGAAAGAATAAATGCATTCTAATATATTTGTTTCACATACCCGGCTGCATTTCTTTGGCCATCCTTAGAGCAATTGGTTTGCCAAAGCTTTCCAAATTGTCATGAAAAAGCCTAACTTCATTCATTATTGCTGATGGTTTATGACATATATCCTTATTTCCAATCAGTTCAATTAAACCTTGCATCACTTCAGGTTTGTTGCAGAAATTATCTTTATCATATTAAAAATGTGGATTAAGAAAATAGGCTGCACAATGTATACCTTGTCTTAGCTGACTATCCCATCTCCTCTTTATAAAACTTATGTAAGGTTTGTACAATCTTTTGAAATTTCTAAAAATTAACTTGATTGCACTCCTTGCTATGTACATTCCATCATAAAGAAATCCTAGTGATGGTTTTTTATCAGAATCCACAATTCTCAATAATCGAATTCAAGGCCCAGTCAATTTGGAACTTACCAAACAGTCATTCCAAAATTTATTATCTAAAATGATAGATGATGCTTCTTGCCCTTTTATTGTTTTGGAAATCTTTGAATCAAAGAAAGTTTTGCTTGTTATAAAAGCCTGTAAATGTTGCTTGTGTTCATATATGCTTTTCAAAGTGATGAAAGTTGTAGCAAATCTAGTAGCTCCAGGCCTGAATGTGAGGCATGTTCCTAAAATCTCTAAGAATAAGATTTAAACAGTGAGCTGAACATGGAGACCAATAAATGTTGCCAAACCTTTCATGCAGAAATTCCCCGGTCTTTTTATAATTTGCAGCAATATCTGTTACGAACTGCATAACATTTTGTGGCACCACCCATTCAACAACTTCACAAAATAATGAACAATGTGTCTTGGCATCCTTTGTATCATCTGAAGCATCAATGGGTTTCAGGAAAGCTACGCCCCTTGGATAATAAATAAAAAAAATTAATCAAAGTTCTATTCCTGTTATATGTCCAACCATCTGTCATGAGTGTGCAACCTATTTCTTTCCAAGATCTTCTATATGAATATATCAACAACCGATATTCCTCTTTGCAATCTCACAAAAGATTAATTCTCAATTTGTGATAGGATGCAACTTATAACTAGGTCCAATTGCAGCTATAGCATCAACTGCCTTTTGCATAAAAGAAGAGTTTATGACATTGAAGGGGATGCAACTATCATAAAACCATCTTCCAATTGCTAAATCAGCACGATTTATGGCTTCTTTGGAAGCCATTACACTTTTCAATGTGGTTGAGAATCTGGTTTAGTTCTTGGTGCAAAAAAGTTATCTAGTTCATCTTTCTTTCTCTTCCCAAGTCCATTATGGTGTGCATCAGAGATTTGTGACTTAGGAAGTGATGAAGACCCCCTTTCATCATCTATATTTTCATCAACAAACACTGTTGTGTTCTGCTCTAACCCCTCTTGGGTTTGTTGCTTTTTGTTGACCATTTCTTTTAAATTTTCTTGCATATGGTGACGAATATCATGTGGGACTTTTTTGCACGAAGATATGTTATCTCTTATTCCTGGTAGATGCTTCTTTATCCTATTAATTCTTCCACCTTTATAAATAATCCCATAATGTAGGCATCTATATTTTTTTTCCATCTGCACCTTTACTTTCACTACAATGACTCCAAGCAATATCGTTCTTTTCACACACACTATGAGACGAAACTGTTAGTAGATCCATTTTGTACACAATGCTAAGGTTATGTGGATTCATAGCTACAATGCACTATCAATAGCAAATAAATAGAACAACAATAATGAAATATTGCTAGAACATACATGGAAATTAATCAAATACTGTTACATTGTAAAAATTAAAACGACAATCATGAAATAAATTTGCAGCATCAATATCATAGCACAATATTGCTAATAGTCAACTAAATTAGATCAAACACGACTAAAGAGTAATTAAACAACTATATTAAGGGCTTCAGTACAGGACAATTTACGTTATTGACATATTGCTCAGACTTTTCATAGTAGAAAATTACCAATCGAAGGAATCCTACAAAGTATTATGCCATAGGATAATCTTTTGCCATAGGAAATTAATCAAATACACTTAAATTCTCAAAATGTGTGTGGCTCTCCGCATAGTAGAATAGAATAGGAAATTAATCAAATACACTTAAAATTCCATTGCTAGAAATCAGCTCAACATAATTAAAATCTGATTGAGCAGAATAAATCAATAAAGTGAATAAAAACTAAAAAAAGTTTTGTCATAGGATAATCTTTTGCCAAGCATAAAAACTAAAAAAAGTTTTGTGCGATTTCATTAGAGATTCTCACAATGTGTGTGGCTCTTAGCTGCAAAAAGGAGCAAGGAAAACTAGAGAAGTGCGTGAAAATTAAAAAACTCACAGTGGGTAGAAAAGGAGAACTTCACCAAGAGAAGGAAGTGGCCTTCAATGAGTTCGATCAGCTTCGTCGCTCCGGCAAAAAAACACCTTCCGTCCCTCTTCTGTCGTCCCGTCTGAGAAGAGTCGCGTCTAGAGGAATAGCGAAGGAATAGCCGAATAAGGTTTGTATTTGTTTTGTTATGAGCTCTCTTTTTTCTAAGCCCTTGGATTAAATCGGATGGTTCAAAAATCGCATCATTCGAACCGGCCGGTTTTTTTTAAACGGGATCGGTTTCCTAGGTTGTCTGTCGAACCGGCGCGGTTCGACCGGTTCAATCCCGGTTCTCTGCTGGGTCGCTTCTTAAGCTGCCCGTAACCGGCTAGCCGGCCGGTTCGCTGTTCAACTGGTTGAACCGGCCGGTCCGGTCTGGTTTTAAAAACGTTGACTATGATACTGAACATGCCCCAAATTCTTTTAAATATAATTTAAATCAGTTTTTAATGGATGTGGAAATATTCGGCTTTTTGTATACATAACAAAATTAAGAACTTATTACATTGGACTTTAGTTTAACTGAAATAACATCGAAGTCATTGCCAGAAAATAATATCACAATAATATTTTTGACGCTGCACATAACAACGTGTATGGAAAACCATCAGCACAAGAATTAACCGGCATACGCAGCCTTGTAGTCGCTAAAAAGCTGATCCACAGTCTTACCAAGTAGCTCAACAAAAAAATCATTGCTATAACCATCCTTCATCTTAGCATTAAGCTTCGCCACGAACCCAGAGTCTAACCCACCGCAGTAGTCAAGGAATCGCGCCGTGACATCGTAGCCCTGATCCCACCGGTCTCCCTGCCCGGGCTTCACCCAATGGCCGTCGAGTGGCTCGTAACCAGCCATGAGCCTCACGTAGTCGGCCACCCCTTCGATGAGCCCTGACGACGCTTGTCCCTTCCCATCCCACTGCCACACGTGTGTGCTCTCGTGGTACAGCACGCCAGTGATCTCCGTCTTCACGTCGCCTTGGAAGTTCGCTATGTATTGTGCGCTCACGTGGATAGCGATTCCTGCAGTGTAGGCGACGCCATCAAGGCTCTCGATGAGGCCGTTGATGATTTGTATGTTCTTGTGATCTCCCTCGTTGCCCTGGTTGAAGGTGGTCCAGATGAATGAAGTGGCATCGGCCAGGACTTGCTTGGTGTAATCAACACTGATCTCGGAGTCAAAGAGGTTACCACCGGGTGTGCCGATTGCGGTGTTGGTGACTTCGTAATCGACGGCAAGGGCTACTCTGGTGGCGGCGGCTATGGTGAGCAAAAGGGCTAGGCAGAGAGGTGAAGGAAAAGTATTCTTCATTATTGGTGATTCCTTGGTTGTGGATTGGAGAACTGTAGGGAAGTATTTATACTGGTTTGAAGATGAAAAGTCTGCTCAGTAGGTGAGGTTCATTCATTTCAGTCATGGGTAGCTGCATTAGTTGAGGTTAACTACCAATGGGGACCGGAGAAAGACTTGGAAAGCCACCAATTGAAGTTAACGAGTGGCAAAATTGACGGGATCAATCTCGTTTTCTTCATAGAATTAAAAATATATTCCATTCGGAGGAGCCTTTTCAACTGTTAATAGCATTTCTGTCTGTTCTGTATGAAAGTTGCTTGTTTTCTTTTGCTAACGTTCTTGCAATTTTTTTATGCGTAGTGTGAGATTGCATAAATAGTGGTGAATTAAGAGATCAATGGAGTAACTCGTTCTCCCTGCTCATTCTGATATTGCGTTTGTTTAAAAAATATTGTTTTATGAAAACTGAAACGAGTGGGAGCTGCGCTAGGGCACTGGTTCCCCCCTCCGACTTTGGTTTTTCTGCTGGTTCCTTCTTCTCACTTCTCCCTTCGGCGAGGCCGGAGGGTGTTCACTCATGGACGCGTCCACCTCTCTACAACCAGCTAACTTTCCCCAACTTGTTTCCCCTTCTTTTGAAGGAGTCCGCTCGATGCCGAGAGACTGGAGCAAGGTGTTCGTATCTGAAAATAATACTCCAAAAGCTTTCAGTTTCTCCCACTTTCCCTCTGAGCCTGAAGTTATTCCGTTTTCGGGTGAGAAGCTTCGTCAAGGTGGGGAAGATTGGAAACTTTGTCTGGTCGGTTACTCGATTGGGCGCCGTCTATACTATGAGGCCTTACTGGGTGCTATCAACAAATCATGGAGTCTGAAAGGGTCGGTAAAACTCTTGTCTTTAAATGATGGTTTTTTTCTCCTGAGATTTTCATGTAGTGAATATTATGAAATGGTTTGGTCAAGAGGTGTTTGGTTTCTTCTTGGGAAGCCATTTGTGCTGCAGAAATGGCATCCGAAATTCACCCCCAAGAAAGAAGACTTCTCCACTGTTCCTATTTGGGTGAAAATCCACGATCTTCCGCTTTCATGTTGGAATTCTGAGGGGATTTCGCGCATAGCAAGTAAGATTGGAGTGCCGCTAGCAGCTGACAATTTGACAGAACAAAAAAACAAGGCTTACCTTCGCCCGTGTTTGTGTTCTGGTTGATAAAAATGCGAATTACCCGGAAGAAATCAAGGTTTCGCTTGACGGAGACGTTGTTTGCCTTAAAGTGCAATATGAATGGCGGCCATATCCTTGTGAGCACTGTAAGTCCTTAATGCATTTATCTTCTGCCTGTCCCTCTCAGCCTTCTAAGGAAACCAATGAACAAGTGATTGGTGGGAAAAATCTACGTGGTCGTAGTAACAGTAGGAAGCCACCAAACCGTTCTTTCTCAAAATCCATTAATGTTAACAAGCCGCTAAACACTTCTGAAGATCTCAACAATGCTGTTGCTACCATGAATGATGCAATGCCAAATCTTGATACCAACATAGTAGCCTCTACTGTGACTGGGCATCCTCTCGTATATCAGCCACACTCTCCTCAGGCCAACAAACAACCTGCTCTATTACTTCCCAGTTTGGCTCCTATCTCATACAGTTCCCTGCCTCTTGACATCCCTAATCTTAATTCTCCTCAAGAGGAAGCCACATCCTCTACAAACACTAATCTACATAATTCATCTTTTCGTCAAAAATCCATTGTATCCCCTAACAAATTTGACGCTTTAAACATTGATGAAGATACCACTTTACAAGCGGAAGAATTGGTTGGCCCGGTAAATGTCGTTCTCTCTAATGCTCTGGAAGAGGGAGGAGATAAAATAAAACATAAGGAGAAGTCAAAACCGCAACAGTTTTCTGTTGCTTCCAAAAAACCTGCTAAGGGAAAGCAGGGGAAAAAATCCCAATCTCACTCAAATCAATAATGTATTTGCCACCCTTAGCGGCGTGGAACATCAGGGGGTTTAACCGGCCTGATAAAGTGTTGAGCTGCAAGCGTCTAATTGCTTCCTTCCAATTAGACTTGGTCTGTATTCTTGAAAACAGGGTTCATAGTCAGTCTTTAAAGGATCCGTTCTTTCAGTCCACTCATTGTCTCTTTACGAACGAAGATAGCTGCAACAATTTTGACCTCTCTTACTCTGGGAGAATTTGGGTCAAATGGAATGCTTCAAAACTGAATTTTAATCCTAAGATCATTACTTCCCAAATGATTTCTGGTACTATACTTATAGCAAATGCTCCCATTTGTGAGCTGACTATGATTTATGCATCTAATAGTTCTGTTGAGCGTACAGAACTTTGGGAGTCCATAGCTAATCTTGCTCCTGTTGATAACTTCCCTTGGGCTCTTATTGGTGACTTCAACTATTGTAGATATGCTTCAGAGAAACTTGGAGGTAATCCTATTCAACATTTTGCTCTGTCTGATTTCAATAGGATGATTTTCAACAATAAGCTGGTGGACTTACACTCTGTGGGTTGTAAATTTACTTGGTTTAATCAACGTCTTGACAATCCTATACACATTAAACTAGATAGAGTGCTTGTTAATGAAGAATGGCTTAATGCCTACTCCGATTCCTTTTGTTCCTTTCAAAGTCCATCATGCATGCTCTGATCACTGCCCGATTGTTTTACATCCTGGTAATCACATCAAAGCTAATCATAGGTTCTTATTTAAGAACTATTGGACTAAAATTTATTGTTATTGGGAACACATCCTTGATTTTATTAGCTATACATCATCAGGAAACCCCTTGATACTTTTTTTTAACTCTCTGAGAAAGTTAAAGAATACTATTAAGAAAGAGTCCTCGGCTTCCTCCACTGCTATCAATAGACATTCGGATTACCTTCATCAAAAACAAAAGCTCTTCTGGATAGTTTGCACATGGTAACAACCTCTATCTCAATGAAGCTTATAAAATTATTAATCAGGATTTGGCTAACTTTTCTTCTTTGCAAGCTTCCTGGATTATACAAAGGGCAAAAGGTTAATTGGCTAAAGCAAGGTGAGGATGATCTCAAATTCTTATATTCCAAAATCAGGAAAAGGTTGGGGAGCTCTAAATCTGCTATAAATCTGATGGCTAGTTATCCTAATAATACTAGGGACGAGGCTGTTAATTCTATTATTCAATACTTTCAATGGCTTTACAATCCTACTCCTACAACCAGTTCGAACATGAGTATCTTCCCTACTGGGACGGTACTACCTGATCACTTTGCTGCATCCTTTTCTTCCTGTGTTTTGGATGAAGAAATCAAACATGCTGTATTTAAATGATCTTCTAATTCTGCTCCAGGGCCGGACGGTTTTAATTTTTTTTTTATAAATCTACTTGGCACATTTTGGGTCCGTCTGTTTGCAGAGCTATTAAATCCTTTTTTCTGAAAGGTTTCATGCCTAATGGCGTTAAAGCCATTGCTTTAGCCATTATTCCTAAACATAAAAATGCGGCTAATATCACTGAGTTTAGGCCTATTGCTCTTTGTAATGCTTTATACAAAATCATTGCTAAAGTCATGGTAGAAAGGATGAAGCCGGTTATGAGTTTGATTGTGAAACATAACCAAGCGGGGTTTGTCAAATCTAGAGTGTCCACAGACAACATTTTATTAGCTAGGGATATTCTTTTTTATGCTGGTAAAAAGAATGGTCCTAACTTATTCTGTGCCAAGTTAGACATCAGAAAAGCTTTTGATTCTGTGTCTAGAGAATTTTTATTGGCTAGATTGTTACAAAAAGGGATTCCAAGGCAATTTGTAGGCTGGTTTAAAGCCTGTATCTCTGATGTTAATTTTTTGATTGTGATTAATGGTGCTCTAGAAGGCTATTTTAACACTACTGCAGGATTGAGGCAAGGGTGCCCCCTTAGTCTGTATCTTTTCTGCTTGGTTATGGATTCTTTTTCTAACCTTCTTGAGGAGAGAGGCTTTAAAGGTATTTCTACTCAGGACTATTCTCTTTCCCATCTGCTTTACGCAGATGATGTTTTGATATTTGGGGTGGCTACAACCGATAACTGTTGTGTTTTAAACACTGTATTAAACGACTTTGCTAATGCATCTGGTTTACATGTAAATTATGACAAATGTGCTATTATGTTTCCTAAGCACCAGAGAAATCAAATTGATATATGTAATGCTCTTGGTATTCAGAACATTGTGACCAAAATTACATATCTTGGGATTCCTTTGGCTTTCTACAGATTAAAAATTGAGGATTTCCTACCTCTTATGGATAGTATCAGTAAGAAATTGAATGGTTGGAAGGCTAACTTGCTATCCTTTGCGGGTAGACTCAAGTATTTTAAATTCACTATCCAGAATACTATTGCGTATTGGATCTGAGGTTCCATTTTACCTAAAGCCATATATAAATTTTTTAAAAAACAATGTTCCAAATTTTTGTTTTTTGGTGATTCCAAGTCTGCTAAGAAACTGCACATGATTGCTTGGGACAACATATGTAAGCCTAAACCCAAAGGAGGGTTGGGAATCCCTTCTATTGCTGCCTTGCAGTTTTCCTTCAACTGCACTATTATCACTCGGATGTATAATGCTTCCTCTCTTCTCTCCTCTTGGCTTATCTATAAATATAAAACTCCCTAGAAAATGCCACAGGCCAATGCTTCTCTTTTCTGGAAATTGATTTGTAAAACTGCCATGGTTGCAAAACAGCACTTTAGCTTTACTATTACAAGGACTGCGCCTATTTCTTTGTTATGGGATCATTGGTGTCATAACCTTTCGGTGTATGATTACATTGGTGAAGCTTCTGTGGGTGCTATTTCGGATTGCTGTCTATCTGAGTTAGTTTCTAGTGGTATTTGGGAATTTCCTGAGCACTTCCCGTTACTGTTGCAACAAACCTGCTTAAGTTTTAATATTGCTGAAAATGAAGGACCTTGTCTGCTTTGGAAAAACAAAAGTTCTGTTAATTTCAAACAGTTTACTGAGGAATTTTACTCTATTTTGACGGATAGTAATTGGTTCAA